AAAGGAAACAAAACAAAAACCCAGAAATGATCCACAAAAGCTAAACATGTTTTAGTCACAAAGTGAACAGGCTCTTCTAAGCATGAGCTAAATTCAGAATCTATAAGGCAACAGATTTATACTTTAACCAGATTTCATACAAACTAAAAACCACTGGGGGATATCCCAGGAGAACCAAGCAAGATGCCGGAACACTGGCATAGTTTTACCATCTCCCCATACCTTCCCCCAGCGTATCCAGGAAACACACACAAATGATATAGAAAAAACACAGTAAATATCCACAGCAAAACTAGATACAAAGGTACCCCCACAAACCCCAAATATACAGGTGGGTGGGGACAAACCACTCCTACCACTGAGGCCAACTGGGTATCGTGATCTGTGCAAGGGAAGTATAAGGAAGCAACAGGGCATCTGAATGACCCCACCATAATCATCACGAAAGCTCAGAGGACCAACTGGATAGCAGCAGCTGGACGTGGACGTTTTCACCCTCTCATGGTGGGCAAGGGTGTGAAGTCTAATGAAAGAGGCAAGGCTGATGCAGGCTACGCACTCTCAAAACCACACACTGAAGAGAAACTACAGGAAATAGGATCCAAAACTCAAATTCTTCAAATATATTGCTGGTGTTGTGTTGACATTGTTATTTTGAGAACGTCGTGTGTGGGAGAAAGCAAATGGATATTTAATAATTATGTGATATTTTAATTTACCATCAATTTCCTTGAGAGCCAGGAATCTCAATATGAAAAAGTAGAAATATAGCTTTAAGCCAGAAGACAGAAAAACACTATCAATTCTAAATTTGAATCTGAAGTATCAGTGTAAACTCATAAAGCACTTTGTTTCTTTTTATTATGACAAAATTTACCATTTTAACCATTTTTAAGTGTAAAGTTCAGTGACGTTAAGCATACTGATGTTGTATAACCATCACCACCATTCACCTCCAGAACTGAGGTACTTTGTTTTATACACACATACATACACCACACAAACACACAATTCTCCCCAGAAGCAATGATTAAGGCACTATAAGTATATTGAAAGCACAGATTAGTCTTGAAATACCATTTCATGCTAAAAGACACCATGGCTTTTTAGAAAAAGGGATGATTCCAGATATGGCAAATTACAAAACAAACCTTGAATATCTTACCATACCAGGAGGTTATCAAAGACAAATTGTGTCAAAAAGACTCAGGATCTTTGAAGAGGGTTCCACTGGCCGAAGACAGGACATTTTGAGCATTAATAAGGATAGCAACTGTAACAGGTCAAAACAACTTTTGTTCTACTATGCTAAGTGACATAAGTCAGGCACAAAAGACAAGTACTATATGATCTTTCTTATAAGTAGAATCTAAAAATTCAATCTCATAAAAACAGTAAAAAAACGGTTATCAGAGGCTTAGGAGAGGAAGGATGGGGAAAAGGGAGATGTTGATCAAAGGGTACAAGTCTCAGACTGGAGGAATAATTTTTCGTGATCAATACACTACATGGTACCAGAGTAAATAAAAATATATATTTCAAAATTGCTGAAAGAATAGACTTTTAATGTTTTCACCACAAAAAAATAAGTTGGTGAGGCAATAAATGTTAATTAGCTTGACTGAATCTTTCTACAA